GAGAGACAGAGAGGACGACAGCAAGAGGACAGACTTCAACTCAAGCTGGGTCTGAATCTTTTAAGCCTCCCTTTCCCTCTTTCCCCTCATCCTTTTCATTCTGCCCTCGTCCTTGCCCCTCTTCTCTTTTCAGCTTGTCATCTGTTTCTCTTTTCCTCTTTCTCTGACTCCTTCAGCAAGCGTTTCCATCCTGTTTCTAGCCTGCAGTGTGAACAGTGAAAGTTTTGCTCCTGAGTTCCGGTGAAGCAGTAAGCAGCTTTTTTTTTTTTATGCTAGTTTGTGTGTCTTTTTATTGCAAGTTCTGTTCAATCTGCAGGTTTTTTGTTTTGTTTTACAGTATTTGTGAAAGTTACACTGCGTGTTTATCAGTTTGTGAACGCTCTGTGCATCTGTGTGTGAGAGACCTTATACACCAGCTGTGAGGTTTTACCATGCATGTCTGGTATTTGAGTTTTATTGCCTCTCTGGACTTAAGAGGCTGTGCTCATACAGCTCTGGTATGCATGCACTGTATGTATTGTTGCAGTCACTGTACGAGGCAGTCTTATCTCATCTGAATCTAACAAGCTTTATCAGAAAACAACTTGCTCTATTTATTATAACACGATAAAGTCTAATGATTTGGTCCACAAAATGTCTGAAAAGCCAAATATATTCAGTTTACTAACATATAGGACCAATAAAGCAGCACTTATTTCAATAATGAAGCTCAAATAAGGGAAAGTTTCACATCTTGCTTGACAATGACTTAAACAGTTAAAATCATTATCAGAATAGTTGCAGATTTATTTTCTGTCTAACTAACTAACTTGCTGTCAGACTCTTGTTGCTGCAGACAGTTAAAGTATAACAGATGTGTGTTTGTGTGTGTGTGAGAGAGTGTGTAATCAGCTCTATCTGACCTCAGCGCTGTGACAGACACGTCCTTTGCGTGACACACGTATGCATCCACCAGCTCGCACAAAGAGGCTCTGTGTTATCTACATGGAGTGTGTCTGGAGGGATGGCTCTGTTCCAACAGGTGTTGCATGTGTGTGTGTAGGTGTCTGTCTTAGTGAATCAGATACAGTAGTGCTGCAGGTAGAGGGTCACACGTAACACGAATATCTGCAATACAAAGCTGAGATTTCTAGTTTGTTAGAAAGTTGAACTTTCTAGAGAAAACAGGAGTTAATAAAAAATAAAAAATGTTGGTGTGCTCCTCTACATCACCTTCAAGTGTAACCATGAGGTCACTGCTTTGTGATTGTGAAACTTTTTCCACCGTGTTTTTGCCTCCAAGGTTCTGCCATAAGCCTCTGCGAAGAACTCTGATTTCATCAAACCTATGCCCTTGGTTCAATAGGCCATGTTTCTATCTGTTTTCACATATAAACCTTTCACTGACCACAGGGATGTTGTCTTCACAGCTCCACCTCTGGTCCTGCACCCTGGAAATGGTTTGTATTCCAGAGTGAGGAAGAAGAGCAGTGAGGAAGGAGCCTTGTTCTCCCTGACCACCAGCAGCCCCAGCTGCAGTGACCGAGCTCCATCCGCCAGCAGCGATTCGGGTCTGTCCGTCGCCTCACAGGGGCGCGCGGGAGCCGGACACAAGAGAGGAGCTGCAGGGGACAAGAGTACCCTGGCAGGGAAGCTGGTCGCTGGGGTGGACTTTGAGATTGCTCAGCCTCTTCTGGAGGTCATGACTGAGCTTGCCGCCAGCGGAGGGGAGGGGGAGGTGGCTGGAGATGAATCTGGGTTGGGACTTACCATCAACGGAGAGGCTTCATCCAGCGAGAGGGAAACTGATATACTAGATGACGACGATGAAGTAGCAGCTTCGGGTCTAGACATGCCAAGCTCCAGCAGCATCTGCTCCCTCTCCTCGGAGAACCTGCCTGGAACTCAAACTGAGTACTCCACACGCTCCTGGGTACAGCAGCAGCAGATGGTTGAGGTCGTCACGGACGACTACCTTGACGTGGATGGGGGAGCGAGGTTGAAGAGGGTGAGAAAAGAGAAGCCACCACCTTTAGTTGCTCCTGACACGCCACTTCGAGGAATGAGCAGCAGGGAGGCGGTGCAGCGAGGACCAGTGGACGATGACGGCATGCACAACGGTCAGTCAGTCAGTACTACGCTTGCTTCGTCTTGCCAAGAAGAAGATTTGGCGTCGTTAAACACAGACATTGACGAGTCCATAGAGCAGCTGAACCAGCTGATTTTGGATTTGGATCCCACCTTTGTTCCTGTTCCTACCCGCTGCGCCCCCTTGAGCCGCTCTGCCTCCCTCCACACCAACGGCCTCAGCCACAAGGGAAATACCAATCAGTCAAGTAAGACCAATTCAAATTCCCCATTGGGGCTTCATAAAGTTAATCTTCTTCTTATGCCCGTTTTTTCCAAGTTTGTGGCCACTGTAGTTTCTCCTACACTCTTAGAAGGCTGAGCTGTATTCAGTTGTTTGCAATCTACAACTTCACCACTAGAAGTTACTAAATACACACAGGTGGAATTGTTCAAGAGTCACATTGCACACATTGCTGTTGCGTGTTTTAAGGAAGGCGAGGCTGGTCGTTGGACCACTGTGGTCAATTATTGATAGATTGCTGTGAAATTTTCTACTGACCTTCGTGTTCCTCAGAGGATGAAGCCTGCTGACTTGGAGTGAGTTTGGGGTAGCCAACCTGCAGCTCTTTATTTCCTCTCAAGTGGCTCCCTGTGACTTTAACAAAATGATATGTAAATCATTAACGGTTATTTTTTACCATTTTTATTTGTCATTGTAGTAGGACTAAAGTGATTCTTACATTCAGTTGTAAGATATTATTATATACACACTGAATATATGAAAATATATATTTATATAAAAATATCTTAAATTAAAACCTGCATCATACGTTACATCCTGACCGAACCTCAATAGCTGTGGCTACTAGTCTTGAGTCTCCCTAGCTAGGCTAGCTATGTATACCAAATCAAAAAAGGAAAAGTCTCAGAGGAAAATAGAGAATTTAATAGTGCATGGACAGATTTGTTTCCTTTGACCACCGATGCTGCTACTGCTGCCTTACCGGTATATTTAATCTGTGGTGAGAAATTAGCATTTAAATCTCAAAGCCCTCCAAAAATGTCTCTTTTGATAATAAAGGTTGCTAATCCCTGGGCTAATACTAACTAGTAAATGTTAGCATGCTAATGTGATGAACTGGAATAGTCAACATAGTAAACGTAACTGCTAAACCTCAGCATATTAACGTTACTGTGACCATGTCAGAATGCTGACATTAGCATTTAGCTCAAACACAGAGCCACAGAGGCGCTAGCATGGCCGTGGATTCAGGATGCAGATGTTTAAGAGGCCGATAATACAAAACCTCAGCCTCTAAAACCAACATTTTCTGCTTTGCTAAATACCACTATGATTACAAATGTATGTATTTTGGGTAAACTGACCCTTTAGCCTTGTTAATTATAACAGAACCTTTCCACAACTCCACTTGTAGAGAGACACAAAACAGTCCACTGTCACATTATGACTGGCTGAAATGCCACGCTAAAGGAAATACACGTGTGCCAACAAGCTGGCGGGCAGATGAAGCGTGTAGGTTGAACTTGTTATATTGTGGAGCCCAGTTCAGCCTGCACACACAGAGAAGCATTTATAACCCAGACTGAAGGAACGAAGCGCTGCGTGATTGTGGAAAGCTCCACCTGAGAGAGGAATACATCTGCGTTTGTTACAGAAGGTGTGTTTGTTAGTGCGCGTGGTGTTTGCTGAAAGGGTGGAAGCATTTGGTTAAACAGGTAGTGGATATTTCCAGTATAAAAATCAAAACCTCTGGTCCCCACACAATGATGTGTTTACCCTCCAGTCTGTCTTATTTGAATGGAAATATACTGAGCTGGAAGAAAAAGGTTACATAAGTAAAAAATATGTGCGAAGACAATTAATCCAATCTGAGTCAGGATGAAGTGATCCAGTGACATTATTACAGAATTTACAGTTTTGAGCAGCTGAATGGGATTAAATGAGTTACATCTTATCAGCAAAGATTCAGTCGAGGATGTCTGACACTGTGAAACGCTGTTAAACGGGGATATTGGCAATAAGTTTCTCATCAGCCGATAACAGGAAAGAGCTCAAAGCTTCAGCAGATTTAGATCCAATGTGTAACTTCTGATTAAACAACAACAGATAAGATTCTAGTTGGTCTCAACCAAGTCCAGCAAAAATTGTATTTTAACATTAAAGTGAGCTTGAGCAGCGAGCAGAAATCGTTTTAATTCAAAATCCATCTAGAACACTTGTTGGCTGCCAAAACTAATCTCATTGGTGATGTCAAAAGCATTCTTTACTTTCTGTCTCAGTCTTGACTCTGTCTCTCTCATTTGGTCTCGACTAGTCCTGGTCTGGTCTAGTTAACTGCAGCACTGCGTACTTCTATCGAATCGATGCTCGATATCAGGCCATATGCAAAGTTTAGGTATCGGAAGCAGTATCAGGAATGAAGGAAAAAATTGGAACATCTCTTATAAAAGTATTCAAGCCACCCCCAGAACAGCTGGTGCCTGATGGTGACGCGAAGAGAAGCCCCACATGCACTGGCTCCACATTGGTTAGATTCTTCAAATAATATTAATATTTAGTGGATTTGTGGAAATCTGAGCTGCTCTGATAATGCTGTGTGGGGAATACTGTACAGAACTGTAACACAAATCCAGATCATTCATCAAAAATCAATTTATCCAGAAATTTGCAGCCCAGATACATCTTCTCCATCAACAGCAGCACTCATAGGGAGCCCGCTGGACTAATTCACAATGAAATTTAACAGACTTGTGGAAGTAAAAAAAAAACAACACAGCAGATTTACAATAGTTGTAGATTTTCAGAATGATACAGGCCCATCTATCTCCTGCAATGTCTGCCTGGACAATAAACCGAAAGCTACGCTAATGTCAAAGTTCACTTGTGATAAAAGTTGAAGACTATCACCAGTTCAGCCTACAGTTTATAGCCTAGCAGTACAGGTGGAACAAAGAGCTTTGTCTCCCACTTATTATTATGTGTATTTTGATAAAGGTAAAAAACGGTTTGCTCTTTGGAACGGCTAGCTGGAGGAAACTCCTTATTACTTTGATTATGACAGACAGTCAGATATCTAATCTTCCATCTTTCACACCTTTATTGCTTAACCAAGTCTTTTAACCTGGGCACAAAGGGTTTGATGGCCAGGCAGAGATTGCAGCTGGTTAAGTTTTGTGGTTCATACCTTTGTGCTCTGGGAGCAGATCTGGTGAAATTGGGAAATGTCTGCTTCCACTCTACACAATAGCCTCTGTATCACTGCAAATTGGCATCATGCACACATAGATTTTAAAATTTGCTTTGTTAACTCCAACAATGAGCTCCCTAACCGGTTCAGGTCGACAGCCGTCCATCTAGAGCTGTGTTCCCTCTCTTAAATGGAAGTTTTTCCCTGCCACTGTCGCCAAGTGCTTGCTAATGGGGAGAATTGTTGGGTCTGTGTAAGGGGCCTATCAAAAGGAGATGTACTGTTACAGGCGTGGCAGCTCCAAAGACATCTTTGGAAAGAAGGAAAAAACAGCTGCTGACCTCTTAAAGTGACGTCTTTAAATTGCTTCTTTTGTCCAACCAACAGTTCAAAACCCAAAGAATCTTCATTTACAATCATATTTGACAAAGAAAAGCAGATAATTAACAAATAATTGTTACATTTAAGTTAACTGGAACCAGAAAATCTTTTATATTTTAGTTTGAAAGATAACTTCAACGATTATTGGAGTATCAAACTAATTGGTGATTAACTTTCTCTCTACTTTAAAGCTTGAACCTGAACACATCACTTCGATAGTGCCTCCTTTCCTGACCCATGTGTCTCAGTGTTGAAAGATTAATTACCTCCACTGGGGCGCAGCCTGCAGGAAGAGGCGCATTTCTGCTGCGACCTCCACCCCGATTTTATTTTACGTTTGAGGACCGTACGGGTTGTAAGTGTACGAGTGGTGTCATCACTTCCCAGCTCTTTGCATACAGAGCAGCTGCTTCCATCAAAGCTAACCTCGGTGTGGCCCGGCGGTTCACGTCGGAGCTCCCAACAGAACGCCCATGACAGCTCCTGAATCATGTCTGTCAAGGTCTCTGCTCTGGTTATGGGTGTGTGCCACACAGGGTTACATTACTGCTGACATTTAACCTCTGACCCTGTGTTTTCGTCAGGTCAGCGAGAGGTCTTGTGGTTCTTCTCCTGATCTGAGCACAGGAAATGTGTGTTTGTATGTATGTATGTATGCAGGTCAGCGAGTTTGTCAGAAGGCTGATATTTCCCCCAAGGGCATATTTGAAGCGGTAACAGTAATATTTCACCGCTTAGTTACTGTGTGTGTGTGTGTGTGCAGAAGTGTCTGTTTGTAACGTGTGTTTTTCGAGGCGATGTTTTGAGGCAGGAATTTGTAAGCGATCAGGAATGCTTTTGAAGTTTGACACAACACTTTGCTTCCCCAGTGTGTTTGCATCATGCCCTCCTCCTCCCTCTCAGGATCTTTGAATTGCAAGTCTTCAAAAAGAGAATAGCACCCCCCCCACCCCGCTACCACCCTCCTTCAAAAATACAGTGGGTATCAAGTGATCATCGGCACTGTCTGTGGAAGCACCCTCAGCAGGCCCTCTGGTGTGGCAGAGTAACTGGATTAGTTTCAGTTGGACTAGCTCGGCCTTTTCATGTGCTTTTTGGAGATGATGGATGCTCACAGTGAAAGCTGAGCTCACAATGTCCCACACTTCTGTTTATAGGTGATATACACAACTGAGTGTGGTCCCATATACGGTGAAACTCTGGTGTGTTTTTGGTGTCACTTTTTCAAAAAATCGAGTTTGAATAAATTACACGATATTTGTTTGAATGAATTTGAAAATAAAATTGCAAAAAACCTACAGTACAACTGTGTTACACTACACGGGAAATACGACGTAAAGACAGGATTCCCACGCATCCTGGAAAAACCTGGAAAATTAGAGACTAGTTTTCCAGTTATGGAAACGCCTGTAAATGTATTAAAATTACCAATTATCATGGAAATAACCTACATTGACCTGGAAATGTTTTATTATATTTTGGTACCTAAGTGTTACCAGATGCGAAGCAGACTTCTTTTGGCTGTCAAATCTTAATTTTTCCGTAGCTGTGAACCGAATTCTCCGAGAGATCCAATGGTAATGGTGTAGACAGTTGTATCTACATGCATACAGCCTATTAATGATCAAATTTGTTGTTGAGGCTGATCAATACATTCACGGCGATGTTAACTGTACATGCAACCAACACTTTCACTTCATAGAAGATGAATTTTATGTAGAATAAAGTAAATTCTACCTGATTTGAACTAGAGGAACCTCAACGCTGAGACCACAAATTAACCAGGTTTGAATTTCCAAAAAAGTCAGACAGCCCTAGAGAGAGAAAAGTCTCAGAAAACATAATTTAAAGTCTGCACCTTCCCTGACAGCCAAGGCAGAGATCCAGAGCTGTGCTTGCTTGAACCGGTAGCGAACGTTATTTGGCAGAGGCAGTGAAAAATGATAGAATAGGGGGATTTATCCCAACATGCGCACAGATTTATGTTTTTACATGCTTTGCTCATGAGAGAATGTACATTGGGGGGCATTGAGTACAATGACACATTCTGGTCTAAAGAAAAGCATTACTTGGTTGTCTATGGGTGAACAGAGTCAATGTAAAATAACATGACCTGTATGTACATGTATGTATAATTTAATAACTGAAAAAGTGGATTTAGTGTAAATTACTGTTTGACAAAAGCGGGTTGTCATGAATATTAAACTGGCAGGTAAGAAACTAACTAAATTAAACTAAATGTTCAAGATTTTGTCATTTTTATTTGTACCTTTTAACCTAAAAAATGTAGTTTGTGCTCTTTAAAAATGTTGATGTATTCAGTTTCAACCATTTTTATAGTTAAATTAACTAACAGTATAATTATTAATTACTTTTCTGAATCTGAGCACAGCGGGTTAAGTGATACTTTACGCAGGAAGACAGTCAATTAAAAGGGAACCTGGGCTCTTAGTACCATTTTACATCTTATCAATACAATACAATACAATACAATACAAGAGGTGTTTGCGTTTGGCCCGTGGCCCACCATTACATTTCAGTTTTGTTCCTCCAAGGTAAAATGTTTGTGCACCCCTAATTTAAACAACACATCAGCCAATATAAATTTTTTAACATGAACAGGAACATAGTCAAACATTTCTGACAAGGATTCCTTAAATGATATCAATCAATTGTGAACAAGCTGTAATAAGTGCCACATTTTGAGGTTAAAAAATAAACTTCTAGTAGACAAAAGTGAAGTCATTTCTTGTTATTTATCGTCTGACGTTAAGATACTGATCCATTAAAGCTGAATACAATAGAACTCCAAAACCTTGCTTATCAATTTTATCTTTTTTAAAACCTGGATCAAACTGAAATGTGCGGTTGTCAAATTAAGTCTCTCTTTCTTTGCTGATGATCCGCTCGCATCTGAAAACAACTGTTTGTTCCAGCAGATGTTTCCACCATCTGGTCACAGTGAAGTCTTGCTTAGTCACACAGTCTCAGCCCTGATGACAGGAGCTCCGCACTGCTGATGAACACGCTGATAGCCGCTTTTGTCAGACACAAACACGCAAAACATGCAGCACTGTCATCACCTTTTATTGGCAAGTTGGCCTCTGGTCGTAAGCCTCAATAATAACAGGAGTAGACGTAACTGTTTGTGGATGTTTCCTTTCACAGAGGAACATGTGAGTTTGATTCTTTGGTTGATTATATTTCAGATCATAATCTGTCTGACTGTCTGGCTGCCTCTCCCTTTTTTGCCTCCCACCCTTACCCTTCTTGTTTATCTGTCTGGTCCTGATCAGGTTGGAGACAGCAGAAGCAGGTCAGCGATGTGGTGGACTACGCTGGTCTCGATAGTCCAGGATGGAGAGGGGGCAGTGCTCAGAGCTTCAGGGGCTCCCCGCTCTACAGTCCCTCCTTCTCACAAACTCAGGTAAACACAGTTTCTCCCCGTACAGTCGACCTTCACCCATAAAAGCTGTTTAATTTAAATTTATAATCACTTTTTACATGACAGGAGCTCGTAGTGATGAACCACAGAGGATTATCAGCAGCTCCCTTCAGTTTTATGATGCTTCGTATGAGTTTTGGTAAATTTTTTAGCTAACGGCAGCTTCTTAAACAATACAGCCCATAGTGCCCTCCCCCACACTCTATCACTCCCACTGTGATGTAAATGTCACTTGGGACCTGAACTTTGAGGCACAGAGCACTTTATTAAACTCAAGTTTACTGTACACTGTTCTGCACTTTAAGTTATATTTTAATTTTATTCTATTTTTATATTTGTCTTGTGTTATTTGTCTTATTATTGTACTGTTCTCTAAAGGGAGTTGGGCAAAGTAATATTTTCATTGTACAGTATAAACCACTGTGTTTCTTTCTGTGCATATGACAATAAACCTCCTGAATCTTAAATCTACAATAAGTAGCAGTTATCGGTCTGAAACTCTGGAAATCACAGAGAGTTTGAGGCAGAGCAGCTGGAGGACATCAGAGGGAAAACCAAAAAAAATTTTCACCATCCAGTTTCACCAAAATCAATTAATAAAGTTGACCGACAGTCCTTTCACCTCTTCTGCCACAAGTGCATTAATGTTAGCCACATGGCTATTTAAAATGAAAGAGTCTGCAAGTAACTCTTGATATTTTGCTCAGGAATATTTCATTTCTAACAATTTTAGCAACTAAAGCAACTTTTTTAACAGCATTTCAATTTGTTGGCCAATATTGTGTGACTGTATTTCAATTATTTGTTTGGTCTCGAGCTTGTTTAACGTCAGTCTTGAATCGGACTCAGCGCTCATTCAGACTCTAGCTCGAAACTGAGTGGGTTCCCTTATGTCAGACTAGATTTAAAAGGTCTTGACAACAGCCCTGATCAGGGTTAGGGTTAGAATTACATTAAAGCAGGGTTTTAATGCCCTAACCCTGGAAATCCTGGACATTTTAGAGACTAGTTTTCCAGTCATGGAAACACCTGGAAATGAATTAAAATGATCCCATATGCTGAAAGTAATCAATGTCATCCTGGAATTTTTAAATTGTATTTGAGCCCCTCATTCAGATCACCTCCATAAACCTGGGTGCGTATTTTCAGACTTGACTGTCGGTAGGACAGTTAGAGGAAAAGTGTAGTAAACTATAGTAACTTCGCCGCCAGAGACCTCAACGGAAAAAGTGGATTGTCCCGAAAACACTGAACCACCGATCTCTAACGAACCTGAGACGATTCATGAAGGAGGAATAACACTGGGGTTAATTGTGCCAATGCTAGGCCTACTGGGAAATTATATGAGTGCTGTAACTCCTGCAAAATGTCCTGGAAAGTTCCTGGGGAATGATTTCTTAAAAAGAGCGGGAACCCTGTAAAGAAAAAGATAACACAGAGTTAAAAGGATCTCTGTTGAGATTGTTGTTATGTAACTCTGTATCTTTCCTCCCTCTCTCCCTCCTTCCCTCCCTCCCTTTGTCTCTCTTTTCTGTTTTTAAAGAGGTTGAGGTTTCTTGCACTCATTCTTATGGCTGGGTGGCATGAATGGCCCTGACTGTTTACAGCAAAACACAGGCTGTAGCCACACACAGATCACAAGACTGATGTCTGCTGGTGTGTGTGTGTGTGTGGGCTTGTTGCCCCATAAGACTTAGAAATGTCACTGACTTTTTCTTACTTATTTTATTCTGTTCGTTTTTAAAGCACGGCCATCTTTACAAAACCAACAGTGTGGACTTTCAAGGACACACAGAAAACTCCAACATCGTCCCGCCCACTCCGGCCTTCCCGGTGTCTCCTCCAACGCCCTACGGTAAGAGATAATCTCAAAATGGACGTCACTGGATGGGTCTGCATTTCGGAAGCTTATCAGTGTCTGTTTTCTCTTCTCAGTGAAACATTTCCCAGCAGAGTTTTCCCAGCTCAGGAAAGGCGGGCAGTGGGACCAACACAACTGGACACAAGGTAAACTTTCCCCAAGAGTGTGTGTGACCATATGCCTGTATATATATATATATATACTGTATATATGTGTGTTTGTGTGTGATTGCTGCCGGACAGGGTTGATGAGCCAGCTGGAATGTCCTCCTGGCATAATATACCAAAAACACACACACATACACACACCTGGCCTGTGCTCTGTTGCTATTGGCTGGATACGTGGGCATGGCTCTGTTTTTGGTAAGTCTCGTCTGGCTAGAAGCAGACAGATGGCTCGTTTCTGGACTTTTGTGTTTATTATTTTTAGGTTTGAGGTAAAAAGCGGTTGTGGGAGCTGATAAAGTGGACTGGGATATCCTCTCTTTTCAGGCCTATGCAGGACAGCTGATACTGGCTGTCCGCTAATAATAGCCAACGGTAACAGAGGAAGAGACTACTGCTGGCAGGATGTCCACTCACGTCCTGTTCTGGGAGGGGACGGGAGGAGAGGGGAGGGTCTTTTGTTGCTGGGACATCCTGCCTGAGAAGATATGTACCACACAGCTGCAGAAGGAATTTACTGTAGTGTCCAAAAGGTGGCTGCGACTCATATCTGATGTTAGTGGCTGTAGAGTTCCTGTTGTAGTGACCGGTTGTGCTTTTTCCTCAGAGGAAACAGAGATGATGTGACCGTGTGAATCATATTTACGAGAAGTAGTTTACTGATAAAAAACGAAAGTATGCTAGCACTGATAAATATCCTCAGACTGAAACTCATCGAATACTCCCAAGGATGCTTGGAAGCTGAACGTTTCTCGTTGCTTTAGGATGAACAGCTGCTGTGTCCAGTTTGAATTCTTGAGTTTTCAGAACAAAACAGAAAGGACCGAAATATATTTAGAAACTCATTAAACCACTTGTCCACCAATAAATGCTTTGGAGTCCACATCAAACGGAAATCAGAGTTCTATTTGCTTCCACATATTTACGGATTTCCTGTAGAAAGAGGCAGCAAAGGAGGGACTTACAAGCAGCTATAGTGAACCCATTAGCTGACCCTGTTGGACTGGCCAGACCGGTAATGACCACAGGTTCTGATACTTTGGCTCCTGGCAGCCGGTCAGCTAATGTTAGCTGCACAAGTTAACTAGCTAATGGCATGTAACATTACCGTTGGCGACAGTAAGCTTCTCTCTTCTTCTTCAAGTCCATCTGGAAAAATCACCTCAGTCGTCAAACTGGCCTCCGTCTGTCTCAGAGGCTCTAGAGATTAAGCTGATATAATTCAAATGCAGGCGTTGTTTGGGTTTGAGACTGATTGTGTGCACAAGACACGGAAAACCACAACATTGGTTGACTTTCAAATGCAGATAAAACAGAATAAAATCCATGATTTATAAAAGCAATCTCAAAATAGGAAAAACAATACTGATACAACTCATAGTAATGATATAAAACAAATCAAAATCAGTAAGTATGAATAAGTTAAACAACAGAAACAACGTATTGTTACACAGCAAGTTGCAAATAGAGTACAAATTAAGTGATTTTACTGCGTGTACCTCAAATATGTGTTTGGATCTATTGTTTCTGTTTTTAATCAAATAAATTATAATTTAATGGCAACAATGTCTGTTTATTATCAGTTCACAGTTATGAGTCGCACCCTTCATACAGTTTTTCTTCCACTGCAGATGAATCAGACGATATCGTGACCTCAGCTTATTGCTATCCTCATATTGTTAACAAAACCCAAGTAATATTTACGATTGGCATTTTGCTGTGCTGCAGACAGATCAGTTCATTCTTTTAAAGGTCTGCCTGTTTATTGTAAACATGTTTGTCAGAACAGAGCGGCGGTGGCAGGATGGAAAAGGAGCCAACGAAAGAGTAATTATCATTTGTGTTTAGAAAAACACCTGATTCTCTCTCTCTCAGCTTGATGGACAAAAGAATTAACAAAGGACACAGAATATCTGTTGCTCGCTCCCATTTTGGGGGACAGACGAGAGTTTCCTGTTTCCCACGTTAAAGGCAGACGACAGTCTGGGAAACAATTGGCCACGTCGGGAAAGAACAGTCAGATTCCCCAATTTAAATTATTTTGATTTAATGTTTGGAGTCATTACTGTAATCACAGTTTGACCCGAGGCTACTGTAATGTGGGGAGTTATTACAGCGGGCAGCAGCAGACAGCTCCAAAACAACAGCAGTTCACTCAGTCAGCCATGTGAACCCTACAGCTGAGCCACTGTGTTATCTGCAGGCCAATCACACTGGGAACTCTGGTCTCTTATGTGTGCTGGTCCAGCGTTTGATTTGGTGATTTGAGGTTAAAAAACGTCAAAAACATTTAAGTTTAAATCTCATAAGTCTAGATTATATATTTCTCTTTTCAAACAAATGTCGTTTTAATTAGATTTCTAGTCTAATTTATTGACATTGAAATTATAAAAACATGAACTTTAACGGACCAGCCTGACCTTTTGGTTTGCTTTCGTGCTTAAAAAGTAATATAAAAAGATTGATGTGTCTGTGTGCAAAGTGCAGAGCGAGGACATAGATAGCATTTAATGTTAGCCTAGCTAGGCGTGAAGACTGTAAGCAGGGGGAAACAGCTAACGGGGGACTGCTCGGCTACAACCAAGCAGCTAACAAATGAAATGATTTCCATCTCCAAGGCCCCGTATTAAAATGTTCAACTTTACAGCAGAAATAAACGTGTTTACAGTCTGGTCTCTGTCTATAACTATACAGGGTGTGAATCTTTACATAACTCACCTGTTCAGTGTTGTTGTACATAGTAAAAACACTAATGTCCACTTGGGGGCAGCAAAAAAAGCAGAAACATTTATTTCAGCCCATCTAAATACAAATTAATATTGGTTAAAGAGTACACTATATTAAGAATATTTTCACCATCAGCCTTTTTATGTGGCACTAACCATAAACTCCTGTATTCCTACACATAAATACAACTTTGGACCCACACAGCCTCTCCACTTAAAATAAACACTGATATGTCACATGCACTGAATGTTTTGGGGCTGTTGGGTGACATTTGAGAAACCACCCTGTTGTTAGCTTGAAGTCTCTGTGGTCTTGATCAGGAAACCAGAATATGCAAATCAACTAAATTATACAGCTAAATAAATATAATGTAATGTTCATACATAATGTTATATAAAGATTTCAGCTCCTGGCAACAGATTGATGACATTCCTTACGTCTTCCCCATACTTTAGCCTTGGCAAACATCACATCGTTTTGCCATGGATGAACCCAAAGATGAACTCTGACTGTCTCTGTGCACTTTCATTTCCTCGTGACGGCAACACGCAGCTCTGAAACGTTATGCAATAACATTTCCTTTGTGTACTTGTGGCCAAATCAAAATAAACAGCGATATATACAGAAGGTCTCCGCCAGCGGAAGCAGGTTTCAGCCAAAGGAATGCAGATGTTGTTATGAGCTGAGGTTTAGCAAAGGCAGATGGTCCGTTCAGACACTTGACTGTCTGAACCTCAGGGGTCAAAGGTCAGGAGAAAGTAATGGAGGGGACCTCTCCTTCTCCTTCAGATGATTGAATTTGTTGTTAAAGATGAACGAGTTTCGAGTGCCGTTGTTGATTTTCAGGTTTTGAGCAGAGAGAGTCTAATTACAAACACTTCTTCTGTCAAAAGTGATCCAACTGAGTGAAAGCTGCATCAATTCATTCTCAGTTAATGTTTTTTGATCCAGTTAAATGCTATTTCAAATTATTTATTCTAGAAAACTGGCCTGTCATTTCAACAATGATCCATAAACTGGGTTTTTTTCATCAATAAGACAAATACTTTCAATGTGAGTTATAAGTGAATCTATTTATAGATTACAATCTGATAAATACATAACATTAATCAATCAATTAATCAGTAAATAAAGGCATGAAAATCAATAATAATGAATATGGCTCTGTTTAAAAGGTAACAAAATGCACCTATGCTTCAGTTTTACTCATCAAACAATCAAGATATAACGTGGGCCAGGCTAGTTGTTTCCCCCTATTTCCAGTCTTTATGCTAAGCTACGCTAACCAGCTCCAACTTCATATGGAACAGCCATAGGTGACAGGCGAACAGTGAAACGCAGCGTTACCTGAATAAAATGACTCAACTACATAGAACATAGAGTTTTCACACTTTAATGAGTAAAAGTTAGACATTCATTCAAACTGATAAATGAGCGACACTGATGGACTGAGCTGATGTCCATTCCAGCTCATTTCCTGTGACACGGAGGTTAAAATAGGGCATGCAGCACATGCCTCCACTGAAACAAAAGTAAACTCAACATAATTCAATCAGGAGCTTTATGGTGTTATTTATGACATGCTAAGATTAGACACATGGCAGGAGACACGATCAGTGTGTGTCTGCATGCCTTTGTCTCTTGTGTTTGTGGCGAGCAGATGGTGGGAGTGGACACACATGCCCTGACAGAGAGGCCATGGAAACCCCCAGATCAACCCCCCCACCACTACCACCACCACCACCACTTCACCACCACCCACCCCCTCTTTCTGCTCCATGAAAGGCCACATACGACCTCTGACCCCACTGGAATCCATTCTGATTGGGTGAAAGTGCTCGCAGTGGCCCAGCAGTGAACAATGCTCAGTGGTCAGTGAGAGGAAGAGGAGGGAGGGTATGTAGACATGCATGGAGGGGAGTGGAGGGGTGGGGGGAGAAATTCTCTACCTCTTGTCCCTCCCTCCATACAAACCCAGAAGTCGAGCGGGTGTCACAACAAGCCAGGAACAAACGGGGAGCTTAATTTTCCATCTCGGGGACGAAAGGAATTGGGCATGGCAGCGCAACGATCCAGCCCCTGAAAAAAAAAGAAAAAAGAAAGAAAGAAAGCTCCGGCGAGTCGGGCTCAGATTGCTTTTTAGCAAGAGAGTGGAGTGAAAGAGAGAAGCAGAGGAGGTTCTGGTAATTGGGAGAGTTTCATTCAGGCTGGGGAGGAAGGAGAGAACATACCAACAGAGCGAGAGAGAGATAGAG